ATTTTACAACTGAGAGCTGAACATCTTGTGGGAGGAAAAATCAGACCTTTATATTAAGAGAGAAGATGAAAGATTTCACAATTACTCCAGCAGCTATTACAATAAGTGCCGTTTAAAGCACCGTTTGAACATTCAGCTGTGCTTTTAATTTTAATTTTGTACAGTATTGTACTTTAGCACTGTGTTCAACTAATAGGCAAAAGCACTAACTGTGGCAAATGCGTATGGAAGCCCATTTCTGCCAGTAAAATAAAATTAGATGAAGATCAAATTCAAGGCTTAGTTAGTCAAAATCTTGACTTATTATCACATAACTCTGACTTACAAAGTCAAAACTGTTCCCTATTATCTCATAATAAGTAATGTAAAATATTTAGTTTTTGTCACTGTTAACATTTCTTTTTTACTTGCAGAACTTCCATAGATGTTGTGTGCTGTGGTCGACAGTTGTCGGGAATATTTATACCGGATCAGCTCCTTCACTTTATTGCTTATGCTCATTGTTGGATACAGTTTGTCTGCATCTTTCACAACCATCATGACGCTGTTTCTAAGAATGACACTTTAAATCTCAATGAAATTACATGTAAAATAACTACTCAGTTGGTTTTGGGATTCACCAGGAAGTGCTGACAGGAAATGTAGCAAGATGTTGACAGCTCTGTGCCTCTACCCACACAGCCTGGAGAGTGATAAATGCCCTCCTGTTGTGGTTCCATGTTTTCTTTTTCTATGTTTCTCTCTGTTGAAGGAGAGCCTGCTCACATTCAGCATGCTTATTATTATTTAATCTGACAGACAGAAGACAAAGAGGGAAAATATCAGCAGCAAGCCAGAGGAGTTCACTTACAAGTTGTAGGCAAAACTAATACTATTTTTGAGTAACATTCACATAACTAATAGGTGCATACATATTCAATATTTTAGTATATTTTGTAACATTACTGAGCTGTTACAGTACAAAATACTCTGCTCTGGCCCTGGTTTTATTAAATAACTGAAAGTGAGATATTATTTTGGCCCTGCGATGGACTGGCGACCTGTCCAGGGTGTACCCCGTCTTTCGCCCAACGTCAGCTGGAAAAGGCTCCAGCCCCCCTGACAAACTGCACTACAAATTACAGATGCAAGTTAAAAGGGGCTCTATGTAGTTATAAAAATATTACTGTAACGTTTCAGTGGGAGTTTACCTGACTTTCCAGCATGTTGTGTGAAGCTGTCTCCCTGTCTGTTTACAGCCGCTGTCACACTGTCTTTTTTTTCCGGGAGTACTGTGCCAAAATGCTGGTGTCTCGCTGCGCCGTATGAAAGGTATGGAGCCGGTGTTGAGCTGCCTCTGAGCCGGGTACATTGAAGTAACAGAGCCTGAACTGTGAGAAAAGCCACAGCCAGCATGCCGGTGTTGATGTTGTTGTCTGGATGAAAGCGGTTGTGTTTTGGATAATACTCGCTCATGAGTTCAAGCGAACACGCGTACCAGCACACGCCTGGTTGCAATCTTAAAACCGCACCGGTACTGGCTGCTGAAAACTCCATAATGCCCCTTCTACTTCCAGAGAGAACTTTTGTTTATTCGTTAAAAAGATGTCAATATATAAAAACCCACAATATACACAGATATAACTACACATTTTCATGAAATATTACTGATAATTTTCTTCAATCTTTTCAACTTAAGACTTAAAGATTCAAGTCTTTTTTCCAATATCTTCAGTCAGGTACCTGTAATATGTGATAATGTAATAATGATTTGAAACAGTAAGCGAAATTCTTCTAATCTGTACTTTTTGTTTAAGAAATTAAACAACATTAATTTTTGTTTTTCTTGTGTCCCATTTTCTTATTAAACCTTTATCTGATTCCATCTTAGTTTTTGAATTAGAAATGTCTTTCCATTTTAATGTGGGCCCTCAAGACAAACAGATGTTGATTTGTGTAGATAAATAATGAAAGAAAAAAATATTTTAAGAGTTATTGTGTGCAATTTGTTTTCTTGATTGTGTCATGGTTAAGAACATCTGGAGGAAGTGGTTAGAGAGGGAGCTAAAACATGACGTTTTGACGTGAACAATATGCTCTAGTTCTTCTGACTATGGAGCAATATGTGCTAAAAAGTCATCTTTTACAGCAACGTATAAATTATTTTGACATAAAATATTTCAAATTTACTCATAATTAGCCCTTACCTGGAGGAAGTGTTTGACAGTATTTGACAAGCAAAATCACAATGGTAAAATACTTCATTTTAAGGAGGGAAAGAGAAAAAGAGATAAACTGTCCTTGTGTCAGATAGGTACATTTATGATGTCTTAAATGTGTAAACAGTTTCTGACCAACAGAGTCTGACCAAGTGTGTCTCATTTCCATTGTGGGGATTTTCCTGCTCTCAGATCAGTCAAAGATTACATGATTATCTGTTTAGCTGGAAACAGACATGACGCTCTTCAGCCTGGGGAAACTTATCAAACCATCTGAATCTGCAAAGTAAACTTATGTATGAGTATGAAGTAGAATATTTCTTCACACAGCATTTTAAAATACTGTATTGGACTTTTGGACTTAATATGTTTCAGTTACTTTTGGGACAAAAAAATAATAATAAAAAAATTACTGTGTGAAAAAAGCTTTAAACCTTCATGTTAATGTTAATAAAATCTTCAAACGTAAATAAACAGTATAAATTTGAAGGGTGTGGTTGCTTTGAGGGACAGTTAAGTCTTAAAGAAGACTTGGACCTGTGTGTTAAATTCAGGTGAGTATACATTTTTTGAGTGGGAAGGATGAACATTTGATTAATATCAAAATGACTTTCTCTGGCCTTCGAGTGGAAATCTATAGCTAATCCTGTCAAAACTATTCTTTGAAAAACATCCAGTGGCTCCTGACTGTCAAACATTTCCAGTGAGTCAGAAAGTGACTTGTCACTTCATTGCATCAACGAAACATAACAACTTATTCACCCCCATCGCTTCCGCTGTGTTCAGAAGACAGGAAGCAGATTCACTCTGTTGGGTAAAAAGCATGTGGCCCAGTATCACACTGCAGCAACAAGTGGAGGAGTTTTTATGAATGTATCAGGAAGTCATCATATTCAGCGACTGAAACATGAGCAAACAAAAACTGAGTAAGTTATGAATTACTTTAATATATTTGGAATATTTGGAGGGGTTTGGGTTATTGTCATAACAATTAAATTATGATAATCAAATTATCATTAGAGAAAATTGCAGCGAAATCTAATTAATTTATTATTAATTTGTAGCTGCTACTTTATTAACCCGAGTCACCAGATAAATGTGAGGGGTCGTGAGGTGATTAATGAGAGAGGAAAGAAGAAAAAAAAACACATTTCAGGCAAACACACGCACACACACTGCTAACCAGTGGTGGAAAGAAACTAACTCAAGTAATGTTCTTAAGTATAATTTTGAGATACTATAACTGTGAAGCAGCAGAAAAGCAAGTACCTGATAAGTATAGTACTAAGTAAATTTACTTGTATGTAATTTAATTACTTTCCACCACTGGAAAATTGCTTCTAGAATAAATGGAGATAGTGTTATATGCTGAATCAGAAAAATGATTGCAAGTTGTTTGTTCCATCCTATAAAAGAATGTGATCTATTGACACTTGTTTCACTGAATGTGTGTGTTTGTGTGTGTGTGTTGGCTCTTTGTTCACTGTTCCACTTACAAACAGTTTTTTGGTCCATTGTAAATGAAGCATAGACGTGTCTTTGTGCAGTTTGAATGGACAGCGGCCTGGCTGAGTGCAGAGTTGACCTAAGAAAAGACAGCGAATGTCTGCTGAAAGGACAACAGCTTACTGTGCTTCTCTTCTGCTGTTTGACGCGATTGCTGTTCCTTGTTTAACACTGAATTTCACCCATGATGCATCTGAAACACGTTCATTCACTCCAGTTAGGCCAGGACCGAAACTTTAGAACAGAAAACAAATCACTGTGCTGCTGAGCTTGACAGGATGTCAAAAGCCTATATCTACAATAAAAACACATAGAAAAGTTTTGATTTTAGAGTCACATCGACATCTTTACCTTTGTGTTTTCCTTAAAAAGTGATAAAAACATCTCTGAATCATAACTGCTAACAGGAATCTTTGGGTGGAGATCAACTTCCACTTGCTCCACCCAAAAAAGACACACTCTTGATGCTAAATGGTACTATTTTTGTCCAGTACAGTTTCTACAGTATAATCTCTGCGGGTTCAGTACACATCCAGGATTTGCTTAACCTAGCTTAGCACAAACACTCAAAGCTGGTGTGGGCAGGGGGGCCGCCAGGAATTTTGGGCCCTGTGACAAAAAAATCTAATTTGACCCCCTCTGCACAGCTGTTGTCACTACTTCTTTAAGACTTAACCGTCCCATCAAAAGCTTTACATAACTCTAATTAAAGGCTTGCAAGTGTCTGGCTTCTTGTAGTTCAATATTAGTACTAGCACAATATTTACTGCTGTTGATTTGTACATGCAAGTCTGCATACAGGATGCAGTTCACTATTTGCTTCTCAAATAAATTGCCAATCATGATGGGAATAATAAAGTCTGTATCTATAGATGTCATTTAATGGCCATAATTCAATCTAAATTAACCTATCAAACTGGTTTATTTTAATATAGTCTTTAACTTACACGCAGGCGGAGGTAAGCTGCTGTCCAGCATCCAGACAGGAAGGTGTTTTGTCATTTTATTTATTTCATAATGATCATTATGTGAGAAAATAATTTGTGTTTGAATTTCTGTCATTAAATATTTAACATATTTAAGAGCAAGAGAGACAGAGAATTCCCCACAGCCTCCCTGGAATGATGCTATCTGGCCTGCCGTTAACACATTATGTTGCTCCCCTTCTTCACTGGGACAGGGAGGCTACAGTTATGGGGAGACTGGGATGCTGCTGACTCATCAGTTTTTAGTCTGCTAAAAGGGGTTTCCTTGTACTGATGAAATGTAGGCTAATGCTAGTGATTGATTGATTGATTGATTGATTGATTTAATTTAATGACCACACGGCCAGGCTGGTTTCCAGTACAGCTTTTTGATACAGGTTCCAACATTTAAACAATAGATATTTAGACATTAACATATAAAGTAACATACATGTACATACAGACACCACATTACTATATATAATACATAATACATGAGGGGTCATGCTTAATCCACTGTCCTCAGCGTTCAGAGATCAGAGTTCAGACTGTGTATCGCTTTTGGAATAAAACTGTTTTTAAAGCGAGTTGTTCTGCAGGCTATTGTCCTGTAACGCCTCCTAGAGGGTAGTAGTTTGAAGGCGAAGTGTGCAGGATGGGAAGTATCAGAAATTATCTTGTGGGCTCTGCATAGTGTCCGTTTGTGATAGAGTGATTCAAGGGATGGTAAGGGTGAACTGTTAACTTTAGATGCTCTGTTAATGATACGCTGTAATTTCTTCCGGGAAAATGAGTCAAGACTGCCAAACCAGACTGTGATGGATGAGATGAGGATGCTTTCGACGATGGCCATGTAGAAGCGGAGCAGGAGATGAGCCCTTACTCTAAACTTCTTAAGCTGTCGAAGATGAAAAAGTCTTTGCTGAGCTTTTTTGTAGATATTATCTGTGTTGATTTTCCATTTAAGATTGTTACTGATGTGTATCCCAAGAAATTTGAATGTGTCAGTGATGGAGATGGGTTCGCCAACAATGAGCACAGGTGTTTTGGAGGATGGCTGACGTCTCAGATCGATGATAAGTTCTTTTGTTTTTTATGTGTTAAGTAAAAGATCATGGTCTGTACACCAGGTCACTGCCTGGTTGATCTGTGTACGGTATGCAGTTTCTTGGTTGTTGGGAATGAGTCCTATAATAGTTGTATCGTCCGCATATTTATGTAGGTTTCAGGTGAGGTGAGCATACATGGACGAGTTCTGTAGAATTTGCACACCAGCGTTCATTGATCATTATGCAGATCCCACCTTTCGACTTGTGCGATAGTTTAGGTGATCTATCAGCACGATGTAATGTGAAGCCTGGAGGTGTTACCGCTTGATCGGGTACTGATTGATCCAGCCAGGTCTCCGTCAGGCAGATGGCAGAGCAGTCACTGTAGTCTTTGTTGGTTTGTAACATAAGTTGAAGTTCGTCCATTTTGTGCCGAAGAGATCTCACATTTGACAACAAGAGGGCTGGAAGCGGTGGCCGATAAGGGCGTCTCCTGAACCTAGCAAAGGCAGGGACGTGGATGGACATAGATCACTACGAGAAGTGTATCTGAGGTTTAAGAGCTCCGAGCGAGTGTGCTGGATCAAGCACGACACTTCACAATCAAATAACGAGACAGACAGGAACGCTGCTTGTACTGTGGCAAGTCTCATGGCCGCCATCTTACCCCTGTACGGCGATCCTGCAGCTAGCTAGCTTATTTCACTGTGGACAATAAGCCAACAGGTTAACACCACTCATGGACTTTAGGCTACCCACCTTTCTTGGGGAAAAACTGGGTTCCAGATTGACATCCTTTCCTTTGTCTTTTCTCTCTTTCCTTTTTTGAAAACCAGATTTTGGTTTACTAGGCAACATTATGATCACTGTATTTCTGCCGCATCTACGTACTTCAGCTAAACACTGTCACTGATGTGTGCGCTGTAGGACTAAACCATTTCATATAGACACAGGAGGGTGGTCGGTCAATATGGAGGTTAACGTTTTTGTCAATGGGGATTTTTAACTTTTACTGCCAAAAACAAGTTAAAACAAAGAGATCATTCATTTTATTATTATACTTAAAATATATTTATACTCAATGATGATGGTATATATAATGTATAATTTGATATTAGTTTATAATTATTTTTGGGGGCCCCTGTCAGTCAGGGGCCCTTGGAATTGTCCTAACTTTTCCCTTCTATATGGCGCCCATGGGTGTGGGGGACTGAAGACTAGTCAGCTGGATTTTGTTCTGTTTGTTCTGTGGTTGTAATCCATACTCATTTGTAATCTTCCTGTAAATAAATTGTGTACTTTTTATTCAGTCTCAATGGTAATTTTAGAGAGTGAGAGATCATTGCTTATTACGTGATTCAACATTTCCCTCTCCCTCACACACGCCAACGCACAAACACACACACAGCAGTCCACTACTTGTCCCAGATGTCTGTGATATTACAATTGAGTGTAGGCCTACTCACACTAGGCAATCCGTTTTAATCGCCTGAAAAATGGCATCAAAGACTATTGCTCAAGGAAAGACCGCAATTCCGCCCATTATGGTAAAATGAAAGTAGACGTAGTTCATTAAGAAAGTGTGTTCATTTAAGTCTGTTTATCTTGTTTAATGTAAGTAATAGTACGTACTAATTATAGTGAAAAATACATTATTGATACATTGTGATTCAAAATAATGGTTGTTGATAAATGAATTAGAGACCCTCACAGATGCATGATTTTACTGCATTCATGGCTCTTCCCACTGGCTCCCACGTAACTCAAACCCTGCCCTTCGGGATCTTAGGAGACTGTCCTCATCACAAACAACCTTTTTGTAATATTGTCTCATAACTGTGTGTTAAAGCACTTTACACTCTGACAGAGGAGGTTAAATAAAACTGGACGGTGTAACACAGCTAATAAGCTAAATCTTTCTCTGTTGTAGACTCTCGGCCTGTCCGTTCTCCCATCATCAGCACCTCTAACTTGTTTGTTTCATTGGTTAATTAGTGAGCTAATCGGCTGCTGGCTGAAGTTTTATATTTATTTAATGTATAGATATGAAAGTTGCATCAATCTTCTCATCTAACTCTCCGCTAGAAAGAGGAAGTGTATTTCCCACAATGTCCCTCCAATGAGGAGGCAGATTAGAAAACAGCATTAGAATAATTCACAAGTTGTCCTGGCAACGATCGGTTGGATCACAAAACACTTGTATTGGTCATTTTGGAAGCTCAATGACAAATAAGGTAACATTGGATTACATGGACTTTGATGATGCTTGGCTCTGTCAAGAATGCAGTGACATTCATGTCAACACCTGGTTTCGTAGAGGTTCAATGTTGGGTAAAGAAGAATTTACCCAATTAAAAGATAAACTGGTCTGATTTAACTTGTGCTTCTTTAAAGACTGTCTGGGGTTTGTGGTAGAAATATTAAGAATATTTTCGTGGTCCTGAAACTTGATGAACAAACAGATTCAGTGAAAGTTGGCAGGACGCCATAACAGCAGAGATATGTGCTGGCTTCAACGTGAAAATAAAAATGCAGCTTTTTTTGCATCTGTATCTCCATCATCTCCCTGTTCTTTCTCAAAATCATTAGTCTATATTTAGCTGAGGAAATAAATATCTGTTGGTGTTTTCAGAGTCTAATAGGTCCCTGGGGCAGAAACATAATCAAACCCTGCTGAGAGCTTGAGGGGCTTCAGTTTAGAATAGAAACGGGAGATGCAGATGAGGGTACAAAAACATTCCTCAGATGACTCCAAGGCAAAGAAAACATTTTTGTTTTTCACAGGACAAAGTGGAAATTAAATGTTTGCAGCTGCTGGTGACTTAACCGTCCAACATTACTCTTTAATTGTGCTTAAAATGTATTACTTGACTGAGAGCATGACCCTGAATGGATACCATACCAGATTAGAGGGCTACAAACTTTTCTTTTACAATAGTCTGGCTTTGCCTTCTTTAAGCAGCTCTGTTAACAAGGTTTAAAGGAACACGTTGTTTTCCTGTTTTACTGAATGAAACATGTTATCTTTTTAAAGAACAGTAAGTAATTTTCTGCACTTTGTCATTCAGTATGAAGTTTGAGATATAGACTCTGTGTTCTTAAAGACAGATTAGAAAACGATGAGGCAGTCATTTTTATTACAAAGCAGAAAACAGTTTGTCCTCAGGCTTAATAAACACAATAAACATTGTTCACGAGTCCCGCACCTCGAGTCCGAGTCAATTCTGAAGTCTTTCGAGATCGACTCTCAAGTCGAGACTGACGTCACTGTGTGTTCTGAAGGAACTCCAGCTCCACGCCTAACTTGTAAGCAAGAACAGCTTACAACAAAAGAATAACTGACGGCACCAGGTAGAGACACAGCGAACTAAGAATTTCATTGCATTGATAACTTGTTTATTTCTGCATATGACAATAAAGCCTTTGAATCCTTTTAAAACTTAAATACCCTCCACCACCCTTAGAGAAATTTATTCTCTGCTTTTAACCCATCCTACTTGTCAGGAGAAGTGTGCAGTTACCTGGTCTATCTGTTGCAAGCCAGTGCCTTGGTCAAGGGAATTAAGCTAGCATGCATGCTTTTCATTGAATCGGAAACCTGAAGGAAACTCATGCGAACACGGAGAGAACATGCAAACTCCACACAGAAAGGCGCTCCCCCAGCCAGTTCCACTAGAACTAAAATGTTGCAGCAGTGAAGCTTACAGAAAATGCTCGAAATTAACAACAATGAAAAGTAGACAAGAGTCATAAAACGAGGAATAGAAGCGAGAGAGCTGCTACAATGGGCTGCCTACTGCTCGGCGAGCTGATCATAGAGAAGTGAAAACCTTAGTGTGATAGCGGCCCTAGATGAAATGACAGAAGATTTCGAAAGTTATTATGGTGTGTTCAGACTGAATGCAAAACAAATTTGACCGCTGGGTTATGCAGTCCGTGTCAAATCTCCTTCACACAATGAATTAAACAACGGCACAGATGAAGCAATAAGCTAGCTGGCAACATACTGTGTGTGAATGTGTTTGTGTGACCCCAACTCATTCTTTTACTTCCCTCCAGAACCACTTTAATGAATATTTTCAACTTCAATGCAAACTTGTGTCCGATAACATCTTTCCATGTTATATAGAATCGGGCTGCCTCTAAAATCTGAAGACACATTTAGAATTTAATTATTTGGGGACCTTAAACGTCTGAGCCTTGAATTTAAGGCAATTTTTCCAACAGCTGCGGAGATGTTTCGCTCTGTGAAAAATAGAAAAACATGCTACAAAGATTTAGTAAGATTAGTATACCACCATGTGATGTTTTGGGTGCAAGCTCAAGTATTTTTCTCACGTACTTTTGTCCAGCACCTAGTCTTTCAGGCACCACAGGTTGCGTATCGTGTATTACATATCGCAAATGTAGGTGCTTTTGTAAATATTTTGCATGACGTTTAACTCTCTACCAAAGAGTCCAGAGTAAAATATGATAGACTGGCTGATTTTATATGTAGTGTATATAAATAGTAAAATAATGAGTTTGATTTGTATTTGGCATTTGTGAGAAAACAGCTCTCTGTTTTCCACCCTCTTATTTTTGATATCATCAAGTCATTAAGTCTTAATTTACACATTGACACCTTAAAGTTCTGTATTTTTCAACCAGGACCCTTTTTTCACAGGTTTTTGTGTCTCTGTGACTAATAGGGACAACATTTATGTTTAGATTTTTCAATATTGAGTGAGTGTGTGGCAGTCGGCAGCAGCGAAACAGTCCATGCTACAAAATCCTTGCGGGCAATTGCGCCCTGGAGACAGAGATATATCTTTTTTAAAAGAATAAGATATTTTAGTTTAACCGGAAACAGTGGCTATATTGTTCTCGTCAAAGAGAAGTGAGGAAAAAAATTATCTGGCAGAACACAGGAGTTGCTGGTCTACCGCTGCACTGATCGGTTAGTTTGTTTGGGTTATTGTGTGAATTTGGTGTTTTAAAGTGCTAAAAACACAAAAGTCACACTATTACGTAAACAAGCCACTGAAGCAGTGGTAGACCACAGAGAAAAAATTATGTTTTTTGGCAAAGGAGTCTGGTGGCTTTGACGAAAGGAATAAAGCGACTGCTTCTGGTTAAACATAACGTAAGCAGAGGACGTACTTTGATGGGGCACAATTGCCTGCAAGCATTGGGTTGCAGCCTGCATGTTTCACTGCTGCCACCAGCAGCGTGCTCGCTCAGTAGTGGACAAATTTAGTATATTGTTGTCCCAGTTAGTCACATAGACACAAAACATGGGAAACTAGGGTCCAGGTTGAAAAATACCAAACTTAGTTAACTTAGTTTAAATTCATTATTAAAGGTCCCTTTAATGATGTTGATAAAGGAATGTTTCTGGCAACCCTATTTACCTACCTCCTGTTCTACAGGTTTCAAATGGTTTGGGAGCCTCACCAATCTCTCCATCCGCCGCCCGACAGAGAAGGCCAAAATCAAAGCAGCCCAAGAGCATGATGGGAGCCTTGGTAGTGCCAAATCAGCAGAGGTGGACCATTTGGTGGATGACATGGAGCCCTGCCTCCACAGCCCCAGCTACGCTCGATCCAACGAAATGTACACACACGTGGGCACTGTGCCTCGCAGCCAGAAGCAGAAGAGCTGTAAGGGGCTGAAGGAGAAAAAGAAAAAAAACAAAGAGGAGGAGGGGATGAGTGGAGGGCAGAGTCAATGGAAAGCGGGGGAACATGTCAGAGACTCTCCTCTGCTCAGTGCCCTATCCAGCCGCAGTTTGACCAGTCTGGACCGGCCGCTGCCTGCCACCCCATCACCCAGCAGGGCTTCACCTTTGACCTCAGCACCTGAAAACTGCTCCAATGATCCTTCAGCAGACCCTTTTAAGAGCCAAACAGCATTGTCAAGGAGAAAGGATGCTTTAGAAACTGCTAGACTTGTAAGAGAGCCTTCAAACATGGAAACCGATGGCCCCAAAGGGGTTTCATCGCAGGACGTGTACGTGCTGATGGATTCGATAGCTGAAGCAGCTCGCAGCCACAAAGACGACCAAACAGAGCGAGACACCATAAGCAAAACCGAAAGAACAACGACTAAGAATGGCTCGCAGGAAGTGCAGCGCATTGACAGGTGACAAAGTATTATTACTCTGTGAGAAGATGCAGTCAGGTCCCGGAAAAAGTCTGTGTGTTGTCTTTTTAACCTGCTCTATAAACTTCGATTTAAATTATATTAGGAACTAACGACAGAGAATGATTTTATGAACAGTTGTACTCCCAGATGTCCTAGATAATGCCTCACAACAAAGCATCCCGATTAAAACACATTAAAGTAGTTGTTCCAGCGGACATGCGCAGTAGCTCCCTGTCTGCCCGCTGTCCTCCGGTCGGTCAGCTGGGTTAAACGCAGCGGCAGTTCGTGTCGGACTGTGCGGGAGAACATGTGTGAAGTCGAGGACGTTAACTTTCGGGCAGTCTGCTCCGGGGAGGGAGACAGAAGGTAGAAAACTAATATTTATAACTAAATTAATAAAGTTAATACAGGACTGTGTCGTCTGTGTTTATCTGAACAGCCCTGCGTCTTTGAGACCATCGCTGTCAGAGGAAAATTGTGCGGTATGTCAGTGTCATGTGTTAAACTTGCTCTAAGAGTCATTTACGACTCGAGTATACTTTTCCTGCCTGTAGTCTGGGATCGGTGCATTTAGAGCAGAAGCAGACACACGTTTTAGGTTAGTTTGATACCATAAAAAAAACATCAAAAGCTCCTTACCTGGCTAGTAAAAACGTTTACAAATAGTCTACTTTGAAGCCAGCGGGTTACCAGGCTGGTCTCCAGTCTGTCTGTGTTATATGCAGCAGTGCAGGCTGAACGTGAAACTGGACCGGACTGTTTGTTACATAAGAAGAGGAATTTGATCCTGCTCTGGCTTCAGTCAGAATAGTGATAAGGATTTTTTTGGCAGAGATGCAGCAGTCTGTTTCACTTCGTCCTGTCTGTCCTACCTGCTTCAGGCTGACCTGAAGCTTTTTGATTTATGACACCAGATATTTTCTTATATCATCTGACGGTTGACATGTCTTCTTCAGGCTGTATCCCAGTAACATTATACATGTTCTGACCTTACTGCATCATATTGTTGAAGTGTGACTAAAATGAACAGTGTTATATTTGCATTATGAAAGATCATTTGTCAAATAAGGGTTTCCTGCAATGCCTTATATTGGTCGCACCTTGGCTAATAAAGAATATTAGGCTCATTAAGCTTCAGGGGAAAATGGATAAATCATACACTGGATGAGATGCATCAGGGTCTGTCAGATTCAGCTCAGCAGGTGATTAGTGGATTGATTGGGTTTGCAGTAATTGAGTTTCTGCAGTAAGAAATATTTTAATGTTCGCTATAATTAATAATTTTCTGGAGGAAACGTCTGGTGTGTAAACATCTTGTGAATAATACCTGAGGTTTATATTTGTCAGTAAAGGCTGGGTTTGGTTGATATGATCAACATCAATCATAGCATATCCATGCAAAATCACATTAAATAATTAAGCTCGTGTTCAAAACTGTCTTCCATCGTTAGAGCAGACCTCGTGCTACATGAAGAGAGTTTTCTGGTATAAAACATTTGAGTGAAATTTATCATATAGCGCTACAGTATGAGAGATCTTATGTTTGGAAACCTTGAAAGTAAATCTAAAAAAACAACACATAATGGACGGAATTGGCTCTTCTCAGATTGACAGGCTGTTTACAAAGCTTCACAATCAGTCATTTTTTGATGCTTCCTCGTGTGTTCTAGTGATGACATGCAAAAAGTATTTTAATTTGTAGCGGAGATCCAGAAGTTTTCAAACATGCCAAGGTAGAGCTAAGGGAAATGTGTTCAAAATTATGCACAAGACATCTAGAATATTTCTAAAATGCTGTATTTCCCTATTAAAAAATGGCATCTTGAATATTACATGATATATTTGTGTTTGAACCTACTTGAGGGTATCAGAGTTCAAGAGGTTAAAGAAAGCCATCAAAAGTGAAAGCAAGACATCCTTGTGATGTTGTGGTCTTAGATGTGTACAATGAATTGCAGTCTCTCAGGTTTTATTTTAGTGAGGGACCTTTATTACATGTCATTGTCCTTTGCCTTTACCCATTTTTTGGGTTTCGTGTCAGTCGCTTTACTCTGATGTGTCAAATAAAAAGACAAAACCAAGTAGTTTTAGTTGCGTAAACTTAACCAAACCTTAAGGTGGCAGATCAGTGTTCACTGGTTTGTAGTTTCAGAGTTGCACTTCATCACTGACTGAGCAGAATGAACCAGATTCTAATTAGCAGCTGGTAATTTCCTGACTGAGTCAGTTCTGTTTTCCAGTTTTAGAATCAGTCAGAGCAGAAGTGGTTATTGAGGCTAACCTTGACTTTCATTTAAAAGATCAAACAGGCTCAAGGACTGTGTTTCTTTTTCTATTTTTCTATTATATTTTACTTAAAGCTGATGATACACAGAGCAACTTTTAGAGCAATGGTGCTGGGCAATGTTGCCGTCAATAGTAATGAGTAAAGATTACTACTGTAATCCCCTTCCCCCACCACTCTGCCACTATCTGTTCAAAACATAGTCAGACTTGCCACCAGCGACATTGCTCAAAAAATTGCCCCCGTGTATCATCAGCTAAAGTGTCTCTGTAGTAAACCCTCAACAGCCTCTGCTCTGTGTGGACGCGTGTAGTAGGGGTGGGAATCTCTGGGCACCTCACGATTCGATTTGATTAAGATTCAGAGGGCTGCAATGCAATCGTAAAACGATTATCGATGCATCTTGATGCATCATTTTTTTTCTATACAGGATTTCTGGATAATTACTAAGCATTTAATTTGTGCATTAAAGTCCAAAAGAAACATCAATTTAACAACCCTAATTTATTTCATTAACCTCAGCTCCGTGGTCCCTCATTTCTTTAACAACCAGTTGTCAGACTCCTCTGAAAACTGAAATATAATTATCAGGATGTTCAGTGTGTGGACAGGACAGAGGTGTACACCAGTGTAGTCTAAGCTTGTACCTGATGTTCTCAACCCTTGACAAGTAGGTAAGTTGGTATTAATGACATACAGCTGAGATAATTATTATTACTTTGTTAATAATTTAACTAACTTTACATGACAGCCAAAAACATGCTGTCCAGGGGAGATGTTAGCTAGCGCTAACAGTCTTTACTTTTACAGAAGTTGGGGAAACTACAGACTTTTATTAACTGACACACTGTGACCTGCACTGCACGTTTACTACCAGACTAAAACTTACTGCTAATATTTTTCTGCGCTAACTTTTCGTCATGTTCTGCCTTTTTGCTCAGCGCATTGATACTAATGATTGTGTGACATTTAAGTAGGATGGTTAATTAATAAAGGGGGAACGCTGGTCTCTCTTGTCTCTCTGTTATGTGCGCGCCACAGATGGTCCAGGCGCTTCACTTCTGCGAGTTCTGCCTTTTGTGTTCCGTCAACATTATGTTATCCATAACATTTAAATAATCGATTCTTTGACATTTGTTAATCGAGTCAGAATCTTCCACGTCCACATCGCGATGCATCTAAGAATCGATTTTTTTCTCCCACCCCTAGCGTGTAGGTGTTACATTTATTTTGGCTTATTACGGGAGCTTTTAAGGATAATTTCTGTATTTTCAAACCTGGGTCTGAGTATGAGTAGGTACAAAAAGTTTTAAAATCCGTGGAATAGATGGCTTCAGCCGGCAGCCAAGAACTGGCTGCGATGTATTCCTACAGGGAAATTTGGCCTGTTAAAAATTACGTCAGAAAGTGCTTGTTTTATGAGGTTTCTGACAACATCATGGAAAGGACACCTAAGAGTGACTCCCAGTGATCCTTTGTTTTTAACAAGAAACAGAAGTCTTGCTCAAGGACACTTCTAACTCTGAAATTGTGCAGGAAATGGTGGAGAAGAATTAGTATCCTAACGTTGTTCCAACACAACACACTCCTCTCTCCAACTCTGACTCAAATTTCCAACATTGTCCTCCTGTAGCACTCTCTACCAAAACGTTTTGTACCTACAAGTCACTTCAAGACCAAAATAGGGCCAAAGTTTTATCCTTCAAACCACAGCTGTTTGTGTTATGAGTGTGTCTTACACAGTGGTGTAAAAGGTTGGCTGAAGGGACAGGAAGTGCTGTAAAACTGGATGATGGTTTGGGGAGCGCAGCCCCCAGGCAGACGGAGGTTCCCCTCTCTGGGCTCACAGAATAGCTCTAATTTTCTGTGGACCAAGACAACATTTCAGAAACACATGTTGTTTAACAGCAGTGAGGTTCGCTGTGGCTATCCACTGCTTTCCTTCATGAAACTAAGAAAAATAAATCTGTTTAAGAGCGTATCAACTGGTCTAGTTGTCTGTTTCATTGTGACATTTGGCAAAAATCTTTTACAGTTAGCTGTCCATTTGCACAGACATAAAAAAAAAACTTTTAAGATCCTTTAGCACAAGAAAAAGTGGAATAGTGGTGCGGACCACAGTGCGTTTCTGTATAACTTTAACAACTAACAACTGCACTGTAGTATAACCAAAGTTCCACAAAAAGCAACATTAAAAAATAGGCAACAGTCATCCAATCTGCTACACTCATTATTTAGTGAGCTTGAAATGAGACGTAACACAATTTCTCTTGACTGTCCCTCAATATTACTTTACAACTTAAGTCCAAAATGGGCAACCTGCTAGCCACATTAGACGCGCAACATGCTAACGCCAAGTTAGCCAACCAACAAAATAAACAGTAAAACAAAGGATAAAGTTTGAAGTTAGATCACGGATGGCCCATGAAGAAGCAACAACAATACAATAAAACAAGAAGGTATAGCGGTTGTTGAGGTTTTACACCCTGCAGTTGGCATGTCAGTAGTAGTTTTTTAATATTGTGGTTAGACAGCCCTATCTGAGCCCAGACAGCTCATGATCATAGGTGAGGGTTGAAATATTGGTCGACTGGTAAAGCTTTACTCCCTCAGCTGGTATTTTCAATCTCTGGACTGTAGATCATTTCATTCAGTATTTTATTAATTTTATTGAAGAGAGCACTTTATGTGCAGCAATATTTAACATTATTAGATAACTAATACTCTGAACCAGTGCTTTACTTGTAATGAGGGCCAGATGATGAATTAAGAGAATTGCTCATTATCATGAGGAAGTGACTTCATGATCTCAATAAATCAAACTTGTTTGTAGAGTTCTTATTATTTCACGATCTGTTTTCTTTTCGCTGATGAAGTAATTAATTCATAATTGCAAGAAAACAAAACTTATTATAAGAAAACAAAATGTCAGTGAGATAAATACATACACATCCTCTCTGATCTTACAGAGAGTAACCCAGTTTACCCTAATGCTGAAAAAATAACAAAGTTTTCAGTTAAAGTCCCATCTGTAACAATCAGAAACAACACAAGCAGCAACAAGGACAAAAAATATATATATATAAGAGTTTGAGTGTCAGGAGTTTCTCATGCAGTGTGTTTTAATTGTGTGTTCACATCTGTTTGCGTGTGTGTGTCTTTGCTGTCTGCTCTCAGACTTTGCCTTTGAGAACAAAAGGTCACCTCCCTTGCTGTTACTTCTGGAAATATGCAGCTTGTTGAAGAAGAGCAGACTGGCCACGGGGGGGGGGGGGGGGGGGGACACATCACTGCCATTAGAAAGAAACCATTTTGGGTGTTTTTCCATTTTTCTAACAGTTTCCTTTGCTTTAGCTCTGAAAAACAGACCATTTGCAGATATGAGGTTTCACACAGCAGTAGAAATATTCCCCCATCCTCCCTGGAGGAGTTTGTTGTGTTGCAAGCTGTTGCTGGGTGGTGTCACATTAACACACTGCTGAGTTGTGCAACAGGACAGACGGGCAGGAGAAAGAACACTGCAATACTTCTGCTACT